AGGTCCTTGAGGAAGGAGATACAATGGTGGTCTGACTAGTTTCCCTTTTTAATGGAAAGGGGATCCAGGGACTCAGGGCAGATGTGTGATGAGGTTATTTGGAATAACTAGTTTACCAGGATCATAGAAAAGTGAGGGCTCATTGTAGAGTGTGCTTCTCTTACTTTATGAAATCTGACCTCCCTCCATGGTACCTGGGGTTTGGTTGTTGGAGCCCCCCAGAGATGGCTGGATATGCATTTCAGGTGTGGTCCTTGCAACAGCACCCATTTGTCCATCTTCTTAAGTGAAAGGAGAAGTAGGCTGAGTCCTGAGACTTAGACTGTGTAGTTAGTAGTGTTAGTTGGCTTGCAGCATTTCAGTGCAGGTTATTACCAGGACTCTCTCCAGAATCCCAGGGCAGCACCAATGTGGCTCCCATGGCTGTCAATCACTTCAAGGAGGAGGGGCAAAATTCATGTTTGATAGGCAAGAAATGAATGACATAATTAAAAACAAATATTATTTTTGCCTCCTCCTTGACTCTTTAAATTCTGTCTAGAAATGAAAGTTTTCCTGTTTAACTAGGTGAAAATCCAACAGGTCTTCATGTTTTTGTTTCATTCTGACATAACAAACAGAGCTACAGTAACTTTAGGCCTTACAAACACTAGGAATTAAATTGCACAACCCAGTATACTAAATTATTGTTTTACCCACAGAGCTGTTTTTATCTACACAATTGAGGTGGCTTATACAACAATAGATAATACAGTGATATATATATATATATATATATATATATATATATATATATATAAACAAAGGGCCAGAGAAAATTTAATTTACCACTTAGCCTATTTGGCCATTCAAATGAGTCTTCATTATTTAAGTGATTTCAGAAATTACCCTTCATTCCTGTCCCTCAGTTTCCCCTTCCTCCTTGCTCCAACAGGTGAATTTCTTTCTCTTAGTTCAATTGCATTCAGCACATATTTATTGAAATGCATGATATTAATTCAGCACCATGTTTGGTGTTGGAAGGAAAATCAGATAAGTAAAGAGTAGTCCCTGATTTTATGATCTCTGTCTTTGTGTATCTGTCGCCTACTGTCCATTTATCTATTGATATACAAATAGATGACAGATAAATAGGTCAGCAGGTAGACAGATGGATAAATGGTGTGGAAGAGACCAGTTATAAATAAGATAGATACATACATATCCACAAAGATTAAACCAAAGATATTCTAATAGGAATGAAAGGAATAGTTTACAAAATGAGCAATTGGAAGCTAAAATAAAAGCATATGGGCACATTTGCTTTAACAGAGAAACAAGCAAAGAATCTGAATATAGAAGAAAGAAACTATTATGCCATCTTGCTGAGGAGATGGTGAAATGTGATGGAGCAGGCTCTCCACGACTTTATGTTCACCTTTCTCTCTGACTCAATCTCACAGAACTCTTCCTTGGCCCTCTGTGTCAATGACATTAGCTTTCTTTTGTTCCTCAAGGCAACCCTGTCCCTTCCTTTCCTGGGATCTCAGGACACACTCTTTCTTTCATCTGAAATAGCTTGTCTTCCCCCATCACAATCTCAGAAAAATCTTCCTTGAGCCCTAGGTGGAGTCAGGATCCCCACTATTCTCATAGTGCCCCATATTCTAGTTGGTGCCAATCATCAAAATTGTAATCAAACAATTAATTTAAGATTAGATGCTCTGTGTCTTTTGCTTTCCCTAGGATGTACCACCAAGAGACATATGAATCACATCTATCTTGGTCATCAATGGCTTGTACATATCAGGTACTCCATAAGTACATTTGGAATGGATAATAAACTTGACATTTAGGATTTCTTCTCCTCTTCCTCTTCTTCTTTCCTTCTCCTCCAGCCCAGCTCTCCCTCCCTTCAATACCTGTCTTAAAATCACTCCTTTTCTCTTTGGTTCTGTATTCCTTCCAAGTCCTCCTATTATCTGATAGGACCAGTCCAATGAATTAACAGAAGAACTCCCTTTTGTTTTCCTCAGTGCATGTCATTCTGGGGACATATCTAGAAATGGAAAAAATGCTAGAAACTTTATTTGGATCTTGTCTGAGAAGAGGCTGATACACAGATCTGTAGATAGGAACAGCAGTATCACCTGGAAGTGTGTTTGAAATTAGTCTAAAATGCACACCAGAGCAGACTCTGCATTTTAACAAGATCCTGAGGTGATAGTCCACTTTTAAACACCACTATAAAAGAACATATTTTCTAGGACGAGATGTGTAGAAAATAAGGCGGATTTCAGTTATGTGATGTGTCTTCTGGGAAGAAGACCCAGAGATGGAATGCAAGAGGTTTTTTGGAAGATGATAAAAGACAAAAGTGATAGGAAGCAGAATTCCTTAGGTAAAGCATTCAGACAATGATGCTGATCCAAGACTTGTGAAAGGAAAGAGAAGCAGAAGACAGGTTGGAAAGGGAGAGTCTCTGAGTACAACACAGATCTCACAGTCTTGGCTGATTCAATGGGGACTTCCAGAGCAAAGGTTACTGTCAGGGGACTTCTGCACTGGGCAGAAGTGGCCAGGTCCTTGCAACTCTTCTGTGCACAGTCATTGGCAGAGGGCTGCCTGGGGGTTGGAGTGGGGGAGTGTGACCTCTGCTGGAAAGCTGAGACAGAGTGAGAAGGTGCTAACAGATGGGAGTTGACAACTCATTGCACTCCTGCAGCTGATAACCAAGTTCTTTTTTAAGGGAAATCTCCATGGCTGCCAATTATGACATCTGAAGGTAATTTTGCAAGAAACTTGGGAGAGGTAGTAAAAGCACAGGAAGCCAATTTAAGAAAATACCACATTAAAGGAGGCCTGACTTAAGTGCAGGACTGTTTATGTTGTATTCTGATTCTTCAGAGAACAGTCTTCCCCAAGGTGCCTAGAAGACAAGAGACTCCAGAGACTCTTTCCCTTGGGGAATCCAAAGGGGATTAATATGGCATTTACAAGATGCTTGAGTTAATAAACAGGACACAGTGGTCATGGGTGTCTGACCTCATCCTCCACAAGCTCAGCAGGGGCAGACCTGATGCTGACTGGCAACTTTAAAGAGCCATAGAAAACAAAAGGGGCCCAGGGCTTGCTCCACTGAGCAAGCCTAGCATGCACAAGGCCAGTGCTTAAGAACCTGAGTTCAATCCTCAGCACACCCCCCCCCGCCCCGTCATGCCACCCCCAAAGAATAAAAGACCAGTGGAGATGGAACAGAGATGGCAGAGTTTGGGGGAAGAGAATACAAGTCCCTGTGGTTAGCCAGTGATGTCTCCACATACTGATTTTCACATTCATTCCCCTTCTTCATTTATGCACATCTGCAAAGACAGCAGAATCACACACAACAAAAAACATTTACATGAACCAGATTCACAGCAACTCTGGCACAAGCTTGTACGTCTACACTCTGCTATTTCAACAAAAATTTGTACACCCAGAACCAAGTTTCTGATCATCCCCCTGTGTAGATAAATTCATAGACCAGAGGCTGTAACATCCACAGCTATAAATCCCCAAACAATATACAGGAACAAAAATAGACAATCTAATGAGATATTCAAGAATTCAGTGACTATGGTCATTTAAAGTCAAGAATCTGTAGGCTGTGTCTGGAACAGCCAGACATTCCTGGAAAGACTTCCCTTGGTCTGAATCCCCAGCTTCACCACCACTTTCTACTTTTGAGATGTTGGGCAAATTAGCCAATCTCTCTGTACCTCTGTTTCTTCATTTATAAGATGGGAACAAAAATAATACTCGCAAAATAGGTTGCTGTAGGAATACGTGAGTTAATATTTGTAAAGCACCAAGAATTGGCTGATACATAGTAAGAGCAAAGTAATTCCCTCTCATCATCCACTCTTCACCCCATCTCCCTACACCACGCCCCATGCAATTGCTAACTATAAGGTTCACCAGGCAGGATCAGTCCTCACCAGGATTTTTAAGTCCTTCCTTCCCCTCCTGTTATGATTTTTGTAAATAAGATTTGTTTGAGAGGGCTGATGGGTTGTGGCAGGGTTATGGGACCAGACAGCTAATCTCACGATGAGGCTGCCAGCCTGGGGCTGCCTTTGGATCTGTCCTGGTTCACCACTGCTGTCTGAGCTGGGGATAGGACTTTTCCCAGGTCAAGGGCAGGGGGTGCTGCAAGGTTCAGCCTAGTATCTTTTTGTGGGTTTGTAGAGAAATGGGAAGACAGATGCTTCTCCATATATAGATTTCAGGGTCCATAGCTCTGCCATGCCCCCTCCTGTCTGTAATTCTTCCCAAAGAAAATATCATTATTCCTCCAAAAGGGAAATACACACACACACACACACACACACACACAACTGAGGTCTCCTTTCTCCTACTTCGACTCAGCAGAAAGCTTAGTGCTTTCAGAGTGTGATAGTTGATTTCCCCTCGGGTCCATTCGGCTTTCAGCGGGTTCCCAGGTGAACTGAAATGCAGAGCTGTTCTCATCTGGTTGCCCTGGGAGTTTCTGCGGTCTCAGTACAACCTGTTCCTCTCTCGCGCGGCTCCCTCCCTCTCTTCCACCCTCCGCGGGTGTGGGGACCTTCTCACCCCCCTCCTTTCTCTAGCCGAGGGCCCCAGCTGCGCCCTCTTGGGAGACACCCGCTGCCACATACTCGGGAAGGGAAGCTGGAGAAGAAGGCGGGGGAGGCACAAAGGGTGGAGGCCGTGCAGCAGCGCAGCCAGAGGGGCGGCTGAAGGTTGCATCTGCTGGAAGAAGGCTTTTCGGCTGCCTGGTAACCGGCTGCCAGAACAGAGAGAGAGGGAGAGGAGCATAGAGCAGGGCAGCAGCTCTTGACGTCAGGACCAAGGGAGAGGATCGTGCCAGCAACCCCAGCCCGCCCCAAAGCCAGACCAGCCTACTGAGAGAGAGGAGCCCGACAAGAGGGGCAGGCGGAACTGAGTGGGGGGCGCGAGAGCCCTTGGCTAGGGCGCAGCATGCCCCCTGCTCCAGAGCCATGGAGATCGCCCTGGTGCCCCTGGAGAACGGAGGTGCCATGACCATCAGAGGAGAAGGTGAGGCAAGAGCAGGCTGTGGTCAGACCACCGGAGGAGAGCTTCAGTATCCTCCGACGGCTGGGCTTAGCGATGGGCACAAAGAGCAGGCTCCAAGGGGGCGCAGCACTCAGAGGGGCACGGACCCAGGAGGGAGACCTTTGCCTCCGCTGCCTCAGGAACTGCCTCAGCCTAGACGGCCCACTCCAGAGGATGAGGAGGGAGAAGGCGACCCCAGCTTGGGCATGGTGGAGGACCAGGTACCAGTACTGGGAGCGGGGGCCCTTCACCACCAGCGAGTTCTCATAAACATCTCTGGGCTGCGCTTCGAGACGCAGCTGGGCACCTTGGCACAGTTCCCCAATACCCTCCTGGGGGACCCAGCCAAGCGTCTGCGCTACTTTGACCCTCTGAGAAATGAGTACTTCTTCGACCGCAATCGGCCCAGCTTCGATGGCATCCTCTACTACTACCAGTCTGGAGGTCGCCTGCGGAGGCCAGTCAATGTCTCCCTGGACGTGTTCGCAGATGAGATCCGCTTTTACCAGCTGGGGGACGAGGCCATGGAGCGCTTCCGGGAGGACGAGGGCTTCATTAAAGAAGAGGAGAAACCCCTGCCCCGTAACGAGTTCCAACGTCAGGTGTGGCTTATCTTTGAATACCCGGAAAGCTCTGGGTCTGCACGGGCTATCGCCATCGTCTCCGTCTTAGTCATTCTCATTTCTATCATCACCTTCTGCTTGGAGACCCTGCCTGAGTTCAGGGATGAACGTGAGCTTCTTCGACATCCCCCGGTGCCTCACCAGCCTTCTGCCCCCGCCTCAGGGACCAATGGCAGTGGGGCCATGGCACCTCCCTCTGGTCCGACAGTGGCCCCACTCCTGCCTAGGACATTGGCAGACCCTTTCTTCATTGTAGAGACCACGTGTGTCATCTGGTTCACTTTTGAGCTGCTTGTGCGCTTCTTTGCCTGTCCCAGCAAGGCAGAGTTCTCCAGGAACATCATGAACATCATTGATATTGTGGCCATCTTCCCCTACTTCATCACCCTGGGCACGGAACTGGCAGAACAACAGCCAGGGGGTGGAGGAGGGGGTGGCCAGAATGGGCAGCAGGCCATGTCCCTGGCCATCCTCAGGGTGATCCGCCTGGTCCGGGTGTTCCGCATCTTCAAGCTCTCCCGACACTCCAAGGGGCTGCAGATCCTGGGGAAGACCTTGCAGGCCTCCATGAGGGAGCTGGGGCTGCTCATCTTCTTCCTTTTCCTTGGAGTCATCCTCTTTTCCAGTGCCGTCTACTTTGCAGAAGCAGACAACCAGGGGTCCCACTTCTCCAGCATCCCTGATGCCTTCTGGTGGGCAGTAGTCACTATGACCACCGTGGGCTATGGGGACATGAGGCCCATCACCGTGGGTGGTAAGATTGTGGGCTCTCTGTGTGCCATTGCTGGGGTCCTCACTATTGCCCTGCCTGTGCCCGTCATTGTCTCCAACTTTAACTACTTCTATCATCGGGAGACAGACCATGAAGAGCAGGCAGCCCTGAAGGAAGAGCAAGGCAACCAGAGACGGGGGTCTGGACTAGACTCTGGAGGCCAAAGGAAGGCTAGCTGGAGCAAGGCTTCCCTCTGCAAGGCTGGGGGGTCCCTGGAGAATTCCGACAGTAACCGGAGGGGCAGCTGCCCCCTGGAGAAGTGTAATCTCAAGGCCAAGAGCAATGTTGACTTGCGGAGATCTCTGTATGCCCTCTGTCTGGACAGCAGCCGGGAAACAGACTTGTAAAGGGAGGCAGCAGAGTGGGGAACAGGGGTGGCCTCTGAAGCTGGGGATTTACTTTATACCACAGAGTATTCCAAGTCCACCTTGTTACTGAAGCCTGTTTTTCTCTTCCTCCTACCCCCTAACTCCCTATTTTCCCTCTTTTTTCCATGACACCAAGGGTCGCCTATTTTTAAAAAATACCACATTCCATGACGCAGGAGCTGTTGAAATGGTGAGCGCTGTGAGATGGATGTATTTTAGCCAGTTTCCTATACCCAGCAGAGGGATAACCCAAACAAAAATGACTTTAAATAGCTCAGATCCCAAGAGATTTTGTAGCTCTCCCCATCCATGTGTTCCAAATTTGTTTTACATATTATTATATTTGTGTATAGGAGACAATATTATTTTTATGGCTGGTGAGTGAATTTTTGTACTGTAGTTCAGATGGAGAATATTTGCATTTATTCTCAAGATATATGTTGAATTTATGGAAAAGAGTTTTGTGATGTTTTCCTGGGATACTTGGAGCCAGAGATCCTGGCATGGCTGTTTCTTCAAGTCTCTCTTTTCTGGGATGTGATATGGGTGCTTTGTATCTAGGGTAAGGAATGTTCTGGAAAAAAAAAAAAAAAAACAAAACACAAATCTGACTTTTTCTGTGAGCCTTAAGTGATTCTTATAACTTTCTTTGAAAAGCATTTTAATGGTGTTAGAGGAAGACTTCTGATAATCCATTTTCCTTATTTTTATCCCAGGAAATAAATTGTGACTTACTTGGGGCAAGTGTTAGTTTTTTTTTTTCGTTTGTTTGTTAGTTGTTGTTTGTTTGTTTTTTTAAATTTTAGATAATAGTCTGTCACTTGTTGTTTCTGGTTTTGGAGTCAGGGCAAATGCCTTGACTGGGGGTAGAAGACTTGGAAAGCTAATAATGGTTTCTCTGAGCCTCATAGGCGATGGTGGGTAGATTCTGTTTGTTTCAGGCTGCCTTTGACACAGACACACTGCAATGTGCTGTGTGATGTGTGGTATCAGACACCCCATCAGTATGGAATGTGCAGGGGGCTAAAAGGAAAAGGATGGTGAGTACCTCCCACCCTTGCAATCCAGCAGTGGTTCCCTGGGGCCGGATTTCTGAAGTGTACCTTTCTGCAGGTTTTAGGACTTCCTTGGCACTGCTCTCAATAGCTCTGAGAAACAAATCTGATTTTCACAGGCATGAAATCTGTTCACAAAAGTGCAGATGAGTGTGAAAGTCACAAGGGAATAGTGCCTGATGCCCACTGCCCTATGGCACAGCAGAGGAATGAGCAAAACCTTTATGGTGGACAGTAGCAGCAAGAGGCCAGGGGAAGGATTTGCCTGTTCCCATTAAAGGCTGGTTTTGACAGATTCAGTTCAGTCCCTGAACTCAAAGCAAATCCCTTTGTTTCCTTTATACTGAGTGGCTGTGGCAAAACAGGACAATAGGAGTAACCCTGGCTATAATTTCTCTCTGGGTCTATATATCAGGATTCCTGCTGCTGCTTTTCCTGCTGGATAATCCAAAGACTGGTTGTTTTCCAGTCTCAGCAGGGAGGGCTTGTGACCCATAATTACAGGTCCTCTATCTCAAGAGTGGGCTTATTGACTGATTCTGAAGGTGTGTCCAGTGTCCCTATGGTTGAGGGAGGATCCACTAACTCCATGTCTGGGAATTGTGGATTTAAATAAGATACAATAATAAAAGCCAGTGTCTGTGAATGCCCGAGTCATTTCCACTCAAGAGCTGTTAATGGCGATTTGAGGAGGAAACAGAAGGATAGGGCAGGCAGGGCTCTGTTGTTTTTTTATTTCATGCTAAAGCAAAGGAAGAAGAACAGAGACACTCTATTTATTTCTAGTTTACAATCTGCCTGAAAGCAGGGCATCTTGCCAAAACTCAATCCCACACAGTCTTACCTTCAAACCCTCTATGTCTTTAAAACCAGTGCTTGTGGTTTAGCACTGACATAGTGATTAGGACTGACTGATAACCTCTAGACCTCTACCCTCCCTAAAAAAACAAAACCCATGTCACCACCTTCCACCTGAAGGGCCCTTCTTTTAGGCTTAAGTAATGCAGAGCACCGAGGTCCTGTACCTATCTGTGTACCTGACTAGATGTTGTTCCATTCAGATGGACTGCTGCATCTTTAGATGTCCAATGCGTGGGTATAATCTTATATACATCCTCAGCGATAGCAAGAAGGAAATGAGAAAGTGTTCACAAAAGTGCAGATGAGTGTGAAAGTCACAAGGGAATAGTGCCTGATGCCCACTGCCCTATGGCACAGCAGAGGAATGAGCAAAACCTTTATGGTGGACAGTAGCAGCAAGAGGCCAGGGGAAGGATTTGCCTGTTCCCATTAAAGGCTGGTTTTGACAGATTCAGTTCAGTCCCTGAACTCATTTTCCCCCACCCCATTTTCAAGGGATTGGAGGCAGATATATCAAGTCAGTTTTACAAAGGGGACCAAGATGATTTAAGAGGGAACCCTGGAGTCTGTCCAGCATGCCAGTCTCCTATTACAACCTCCCATCCTGCGGGCCAGTGACATGGGACCTGTCCTGCAGCACCGGGAAGAACACTCACTAGTCAGTTCAAAGTGTTTCAATCTCTCCATATTCTCAGTGCACCTGTTGGCTTTGATTCTGGAAACTACTCCACGGTTCCACCCAAGCCATCATGATTTGTCTTTGTAGGTAATTAGCAGGAGCAAATCTAAAGGTCAAGGCTCTTCCCCAGGCCAACTGAGGTAAGGAGCCCCTTCCTGCCCTCTGCCACTCTTCCTTCTCTGCTGTCACTGATTTTCCATAGCCTTTACCTTCCTGAGGAGATAAAATCAAGTGGCCTCAGCCAAGCTTTATATCCAGATGTTACTTCTTGGCTTCCACAGCAGGAAACCCTTTCTGGGTTTTTATGATCTCCCAGTTTTGGCAAACAAGACACAGGAAGAAGAGCTATACTTGGGTGTCATGCATTTGTGAGTTCAGCAAAGCATCTGGCCCCCTCTTTTTTTTCTTTTTCCAAAGATTGTAATAAAGGTGACTTTAAAAAAATGTTCTAATTAGTTATACATGACAGTAGACTGCATTTTGACATATCATACACAAATGGAGCATAACTTCTCATTCCTCTGGCTGTACATGGTGGTCCCCTCTTTTGTCACCTTTTATCACCACTCAGATGTTTCTTTTTCTCAGTGCATGCTCTCTGAACCCTAAGGCATTACAGTTTCAGGAAAAGAAAACAAAACAAACCACCTTTTTCACTTTCTTTAAAAGCCCCCCTCCTTAGTTTGCCCTGCAGCCTGCTGGGATACTCCCTGGAGAGAGGAAAGAAATAAAACAGAGTACTGGCCCTTGCAGAATTTTCCCATAGACTTAGGATTTGCAATATTCTAAGGGGATGATGTAAGACTCCAGGCTTGAACTGGACTGAACAGAGGTTTGGGGCAGGGACACCTTGCTCTTGATTTCCTCCAGAAATGGCAGGTTTGTGCACAAGGAGTTTGACTGTAGATGAGGGTCAAGTGCTCTTTTTTTTGACCTTGAGCAGCACATGTCTACTTGGCTAGTTGTCTCATAGGTGCGGTGAGAGATACTGGGGAAAAAAGCTGGGATGTGGTCCCTGTCTTCATATAACTTACAGTCCCATTGGGGAAGGTATCAGAATAAAACAAAAGCAAGATGTATAGGCCAGGGGTATTCACGTATCACGTAGAGGTTGTAAGATGGAGAGACAAGGGTTAGGGGTGGGTGGGGAAGAGGAGAAGAGAGAAACTCCTGCAGATCTTGCAGGGTAGCCAGGAAGAAGACACTTAGGTGAGGGAAGTGAGGGCAATGATCCAGAGGAGAAGCACTGCCCTGTCCCCATCACCGTCCTTCAGGATGGAGTATAGAGTCAAGTGTGGGTAACCCCATTGGAGCTCCAGTTTTACCAAGAGCAGGATATTCAGCAATTGTTAGGGCAAGGGCTGGCAAAATCTGAAAAGGGCCAGCTAGTAAATATTTGACACATCAGAGGCCAAGAGGCAAAATTGATGCTGTTATAGAGTTATTTATATAACCATTTAAAATGTTGCTGGGTATAGTGGCACGTGCCTGAAATCCCAGTGACTCCAGAGGCTGAGACAGGAGAATTACAAGTTTGAGGCCAGCCTCAGCAACTCAGTGAAGACTTAAGCAACTTCGTGAGACTCTGCCTCAAACAAAAACAAAAAAGGACTGGGAGTGTAGCTGAGTGGTAAAGCCCCTCGGTTCAATCCCCAGTAACAAGACAAATAAATAAACAAACAAAAACAAAAGTGAAAAAATTTAACCCTTAAAAAGTTTATAAAACTGTCTATACTCAAGAGCTGTCCATCTCCTCTGTCAAGTCCGTTTATGCGTCTCGCAGAGTGCTGCCTCCTTGGTCATGTTTGGGAAGCTCTGATCCATCTCTGATTTGATTTTACTCAATTCAACTTGTATCTATTTAAAAATGCCAACCATTGGTTTGGGGAGGAAATTCTATGCCATCATTTCTTATACCATCATTTGCCCAGGGAACACTTTATAAGGAATATTTAGTTTTCTTCTATCTCATCTTAAAAAAAAATGAGAGTTTCCTGCATGGCTATGGGATAGGATACTCTATTTCTAGGAAGGAGGAAGAAGATGCCCAAATTGGAAATTCTTCCTGGAACTCTGGACAGTGGATTGGCTCTGAATTATTAATAGAAGTGGCAGTCTGGGCCACTCCTCCTCCTTTGGTCTCTGAGGCTTTTCCTGGACACGGTATTGCATAGGCACCTGGAGGATGCACTTCACCTGCCCCTCTTTGCCTGGTGCTTTTTTTTTTTTTTGGCTGTAGAGAGAGAGCTCAGGCAGTCACAGCTTCTGTGTGTACATAGTGTGAACCTGTCCAGCAGCCTGCATGGATAGTGGGCAGCATGGTACAGCCTAGACAGAATCCATTCCAGACCACAGGCCTCCAGACAGAGCATGATAATCATTAT